CCAACTTAAGACTACTGGCAGGCCCTAGAAAGTCCAGTTTCTAAAGTACCCCAGATCCTCAGGACCAGTAAGAGCCTCTGCAGACGCTGGCAAACTTGAACATTCTCCTGCAATGGTTATTTAACTTTAACACTTCAAGAAGACATTGTTTATCTACAAAATTATTTCTAGACATAAACAACAGAGAATAAACTGACAGAGTAATAGATAATATCCTCACATCCCTAAGATGGCTCTTTTCATAAGGAGAGTCACCCTCCACTATCCCCCTAGAAGAAAATCCAGTTAAACACTGTCCACAATTCAAAACCCATGTCTTGAAATATTCACAAATAGACAAACACATCACAATCTACGTGAATATGCAATGAACCTCTTACAATTGCTTTTGAAAATACCATTTGTAATTCAAAAATATTTTTTAATCTTGCTCTATCAAACAGGAAAATGGGAATGATTCTCCAGTGGAGTTTCACACACCCATCAATTCAACTTTTAAGTAAGATCTCGTATGCAAGCAAAAAGACAGCATTCATGATCAGCATAAGGTTTCCAAACTATTTTTTCCTGACAACAATATTTAAAACAATATAACCTTAAAATAGACTGAGAAGACTTTTGATTCATTGTTCTCTAGTAAGTCTATATCAAAAAGTTCTAGCATTTTTTAATGAAAATTTAGAACATATCTTCAATGATTTCTCCCGCTACTAGTGGTCACCAATTTACATATATGAAAGAAATGTATTAACTGCCTGTATTTTTGGATGACTAAAGGAAAACCCACCAAAAGTTTATACCCTATGAACGTCTTCACATAGATGATCTTAGAAAAGCTCAATTGGAACAGACCTACAATGATCATCCAGTGCAACTGCAATTTTAAAAACAGCCTTAAAATACAAAAAAAGAAACTCCCCAAAAACATCGTGCTGCTAAACATGTAGCTGCTTCACTACTGAACTGGAAAATCTAGTTCAATTTGATTTCTCTTTTGGCCAGTCCTATATGGCTTCCAGAAGTCCTCAACAGATTCAGACAAGTGCTCAGCACAGCCTACTCCTAAAACACAGTGGCTATGGAAAACTTTCAATGTATGGTATCTGCAGCTCTTAAATATCACTCTGACCTGGGAGTAAAGTGACTCTCAGTTTTCACACTGCTTCAAGTAGCAAGGATGCACTGCTATATCGCGCTTCTGACATCATTACACAAAGTAGCACACATTCCAAAATAAAAATCAACAAGCTGATAATCACAATAAGTAGTAATGCGGCTGTTCCCTTGCAAAGCAATTTAAAGTGCTTTTATCACCATCAATCTCCTGCAATATTTTAAGCCTGTAAAGAAATCTGACTAATCAAAACCAGTTTCTATAATCAAAAGATCTTTTGTGATGAAAAGGCAAAAGTACACTCCATCAGCAAGATACTTATTTAAAAGAATATAACATTTGGTACTGCTTCAGAACTGCACCCTATATTTTGGAAACCATGGCCAAACAGATATGCCACCATGTTCCCACATGCTGAGTAACTAAATTTTTTTTTCACTTGTAACTATCTTTATTTACTATTTCAAAAGGCTTCCAAACCTACAGTCAGTACTGATTTACATATGATTAATTCTTCATTATTGTGATTTTAATGTAAACCAAGGTTATTTTGTAGCAAACGTATTGAATCAAATATGACTGAATGAGCTTTATAGTCTGGTTAATATACAGTCTTTATTTCAGCATGGCTCAGTTGAAATCACTTAGGAGATATCTGAAAACATCTAAATATGTGCTACTGTCACAGGAAAAACAAAACAACTTACAAATATTTTTGACACAGGAAGATGGAATGAACACCATAGAAGTTACATAAGACAAATAAGAGAGACATTGTCATTTTTAGTTTCTACAATAAAATGTCAAATTTACTTTCTTGATTTCATTTTAAAACCAAAATAACTAGGAAACAGCCAACCCGCAATTGAACTCAGGAAAAAAGTATTACATTGTCTGATTAGTATTTTAACTTGGCTTCTCCTGTAATTTTCCCTGGTCACTTCAATAATATGAAGTATATTCTGCAAAATGAATTGGGTTAAATTACATTTCATAAATTAAATAAGTTATTTGGATACTTTTGCAAATAGATCTTATAGCTGTGAATTGAACTATTCATGACATTGCTTATTATTTACAGCATGTTACTTCTACAATATCACTTTTACCTAAGCAATGCATGGAAAAAAACACATTAAATAAAATACAACATTTTGAAAAACTGAAGTAAGTGCGCTTCCCAACAATAAATATAACTAACATCTGTTGCAGAAACTGCTTGGCCCTTTTACAGTTTTGTGAAGAATTTTTGTTGTACATAAATATTTTTCTACACTTCCTATTATGCACCACTTAACTCAGACATTTGCCTTAATTATACCCCAAGGAGTCCTTTCATATCCATTAAAGAAAGGCAATTTGTTGTTGAAAATAATGCATACATACTTTTAAACTTCAACTGTGATTCATCTGCCTTCTGACACATAAAAAAGCAAGGAAATATCTATAATTAATGGACTTAGTTAAGCAAAAATGTCTAATAATGCTCAACTCAATGCTCAACATAGTACTTTTGTTAAATACTTATATATGCTGGTTTTGATTTAAGGAATCATCTTACGATTCAACATTTTACTTTCATTTCACATCTCAATAGTGAGGACAACAGTACAACAAAGCCTTTAGGAAAGCAAGAAATTTCCATTTTAATGTTGGCAAAAATGACCCAATAAGGCTTCCACTTTGTATATACAGCAAATACAGGACATCATTTTTTTCTGGGACAATAACAACTTTTTGACATTCTCCTCTTTTTTTTCTTTTAATTTTGTTTTCCACTATTCTTAACTAAAGAATTTCAAAGACAAACACTGACACGGGGTTGTTTGCTTGTTTTTCCTGAAAATACACATAAGCTGTGCACATTTAACAGAATTCTTGTGTGCAGCATTTCATACACACTCACAGTAGCAATGCTATAATAATACACTGTAAGTTTTTTTTATTTTTTCTAAAGCATGTAGTAGAAATCTATTTAAATGCTATTATAAGCATATAGATATCTACTCCGCTACTGAGGTATCGAGCAACTGGTAATGAAGAATGAGGTGAAAATGAGGATACTGCCGATAAAAGAAAAGAAATGCTAACTCTAAATAGGCAAAAAATTCAGTTCAGGCCCAAAAGTCTCTCCATAGAGGCTCAGCTACAAAATGGGAGAGTTACTTGCATAATTTCCTGTAAAACAAACCAACTGGCATTGTATTCTCTATTCTTATAAAACTCGACAAAGAACATTTCTTAAATTATATTTATTATTAACATAGAACCAAATTTGGCCATTTTAAAAATGAAAAATATAGTAAAATAAGAAATACTTTATTCATGGGGAAAAACAGCATTTTTGTTGATGGAAATAGTAATCTGTATTGCTCTATGTAAAAAAGTTAAAGCCAAAATGCATAGAGTGTATTTAGATGACAAAATGAAATCAGTTGTGTCTCAGGATATTATCATTTTTTAAGTGGAAGGTTTAGGAATGCACGCTTTCCTTTTACGCTGTACAATAGATCAGGCCAAATTATTAAATTGATACATCAAAATCCATATTACATTTCCTTTAAATATTTATTACTTCTTTCTCAGTCTGTTTTTATATGAACAAGATGTATGACTTGTAGATTCTATCCCTGCCTCATTTTAGTTTACCTTTTTATGTAACTTTAGATATACTAAATTCATATTCCTTTTTTTTTGTTTTTCCTAAGCACGGATTCTTGGAGGAAAGGACCAAAAAATTAATAAAATATTCTACAGTGTAGTTTATATAGCTTTCACTTAATCTCTTCTTTTCATATGAAAACCATCACTCCATTTACACCATTTTTTAACACATAATATGCTTAATTTCTTTTGGCTGAGAAAGGAGGCATAGGTAGCAATAAAGCAGTAAAGACAGTATGTTCAACTCTACTGTAATAACAGCAGCTATTCTACAGATCAGTTTGTTCTGAGTTTAAAGTCTGAAACTCTGTATTTTAGACAAAGAAGTTCCTGTAAGAAAGAATCAAATTTAGGTATAAAGCAACAATACTGTAAAGTGCTGAAATTGTTTTCACTCTGCTGCACTGACAGAACAAACAGATTTCACATACAGTCTTGAATAAGAGTCCTTTAAATGACATTTATGAACAGAATGACACAACCAAATTTTAACTTCTTCCTACAACTTCAGAAGAATAAGTAGAGCTTCTCATAGAGAATCAGTAACTTTCAGCATTTCTTCAATGTATGTGACATGATAGAAATGTAGACAAGATGAATTTTTCAGCATATAAAGAGCAAAAAGTACACTGAATACAACACTTACATAATTTACTATGTGGTAGCTAGAAATTAGACAAAAACATTACTCCTTAGAAGAGGAAAATCAGAACTAGTTAAGGACTTCAGAACAGGAATTGCAACTCTGCTCTCACATCAGTACACAGCAATTCAGAAAAAGCTTTTACATAAAAAAGACAACCTATGGCTGCCATCTATTGCTTTAAGCAGTTGAAAAGAATGGAGTAATGGAATAGTGCAAAATTAAAACTAATAGCAAATAAAAACACAAGCTAAAAAAAAAATCACTGTCCCAGCAGCTTTTCATAAGAGTAGTTTAGAAAACATCTTTTCACCCTTAAGCAAAATATGGTGAAAGAAGAAGATCTGTTTGTACCAAGGTATATTTTTTCCAGAAGAACTAAGCCTGTATAGAGTGCATTGTACTAAGTAATTAGGGACTGGGACTGCTCTTGGTCTGTGTACTTGCAATAAAGAGAAATTGAGGCCAGTCCTTAACTAGCATGTCATAAGTAGTAAGTAATAGCGTAATAAGTAATAGTGGGTTAGTGGTGTGCAGATAGTAAATACAAATGGGCAAGATAATGCCACATGAACATACCTCTTGTACGGAGCGAGCTGCTGGCTTGTCTTGATGATTGGCCAGTATTAAAAATGGCAAAGTACATAACTGTGGGTGCTGGAGAGCAGAATGCAGTTCATTTCTAGCAGTTTCTAGATCATCTTCAGAGGAGGCACTGTCTAATACAAATATTACCCCCTGGGATCCTTGGTAATAACGACTCCAGTATTTCCTGATGTTGTCAGCTCCTTCCAAGACAATAATAAGAATTATTTAAAATAAGAATAATTTAACAAATTTAACACTTATAACTGAAAATAACCAGTCTACTTGGAATGATCAAAACAATTAACTAAATCTTTTCTCCTAATCATCATTAAAAGAATAAAAAAGAAAAAAAGGCAATCACCAATCAAACACACACACAAATGTCAAATCAATCTTGTTTGAGTAAGGAAGGAACTTGACTCAATGCAGCTTTCTTCCCCTAAAGCTTCTGCTCCATTAATGAGTATTGGCAGAGGTATCATGCTTCTAGTACCACATGGTCTAATCCTTCACCTTCTCACTGAAATATCTTGGCACTAATACCTAAACCTTTGCCCATTCTTTTTTACTCAGCCCTGCAGCTCCCTGCCATAACCTGAAGCTTCTGTCATGGCAGTTGTTCATTTGTGAGCATGATAAGGTCTTCCAGTTCATCTCCAAACCATCAGGCAACCACTTCATAATTGGGGAAAAAAGGTGTCAGGAAAGCCTATTAAAGTAATTAGATACTTAATGGGAAGAACAATGATACAATAGTGAGTTGAATAGTGAATGAGGAGCTATGATGACAACACGCAAAGGCATTCACTTCAACTACTTTTGCTCTGTCAACCACACTAAGGATTCTGAAGAGCCCAACAGCAGACACATGAGTGACTGTACAGGCTGATATGCCACAGTAATTTTTAGGACACAGTTCAGCAGCACTCAGCCATCTCAAAGAAGCCAAGCAATAAGGTTATCAACAGAAAGCTTTTGTCTCCCCTGGAGAGCAGCATATGTTGTAGCATTGAGGTAGGAAAAAAAAAATTGTATTTGACAGCTGTCAAACTATCTAAACTATGATTTGGATATGGGCTATTCTTTGTATGTCTGAATCTGGCACTACACTCATGGGGACAAATGCTAAACAGTGAACAGCAGCAGCAGCAACAGTCTAGTGGAAAACTTGACATGTCTGCCAGACAATGACTTGCAGAAATATAATGAAGGTATCTTTTACAGACACTTTTCTTGCTTTCAGACAGGGAAAAGTGAACTTTCATGTATACACAGATGAAAATAATAAAACTCTACCTTTCAGTGAAACAAAATGACACAAAATTTCTGAGAAACATGTAGATATATAATGAGTTTTCAATGCAACATAATGACCATAACATTGATATGATACTTAAAATATTCACTTAATTTATACATTATAAACAAAGGTGAAGTCATAAATGTCTAGAAAGGAATTTGCACCATATACTTTAGGTATCCAACTCAAGAGTATTCAAATCTCACTTCATAGAGTTACTGTCGTCTTTGTACCAGCTACACTGGAACCTTAAGCACTTTGTTTCAGTATCTGCACCCAACCCAATTTAGGCAGCTAACAAACATTGTGAACACAGACACACACAGTTTTGTTTACAGAGAATATCAGTCACGTCTAACCTGTTTTTTTTCTGCAAGAGGCCTACAGACTTGACTACTTAAAGGCAAATGGCCATGGGTTTTATAGTCAAGACTTTGCTTAAGTTCTCTCTTAATTTAACCAGACTCAAAGTAACAATGCACAAATAGAACAGATGTTTCATTTTTTTATCAACCTCTGAAGATTAATATTATACAAACAGAAGAGGGATTGCATTGAAAGCTAGGTCTATGTTTCTGTACCACACAAATATCTGCCAACTGTACTTCTAAAGAACTGTATAGCATCTGTTAGATGTCCCAGTCTTTCCCAACAGCTGTCTACATCAGAACCAAGTAAAGCAAGTTGCCAGAGGGACACTATTTACATAGCCACACACAGCAGTGTTGCAGGCATCTGAAGGATCACATTACTTTAAAAACTAGTAGAGAATCATTTTCAATGAACTTAAAGGCCAAGACCATGATCAGCTCTTTGAAGGTATTTTTTTTCCTAGCAACATAACATCTGTCTTATTTACTCTAAGCATCAGTCAGCTACTTTTCAATCACATCACTGCCAGAACCTGAGTCTTATCTTTGTAATCGTAGTCATTCTAAACAGAAAAACTGTGAGGTGAACTGCAGAGCATTTGACCTCTTGTATCCAGGCACATGGAAGAAAGCAGCTCATGGAACCCTACCTGGGACACTGAAGCCAGAAAAGGAGTATGGTGATTTGTTGACCTTACGCTCCTGTCTCTTTGGTTCTGTTTCTTTAGTAGCTCAGCTTTGTTGCTCCACATCAACTGCCCCCAAACCAACACCACTGAAGTATAGTAGTCTTTTTCTCTCCGGCTCTGGCCAGTCACCATGGCATAGTTATAAGAACCAAGGCACAATGTACAACAAAATTTGGTATTTTCTTTAGGATCTTCCATTATTCTAATGACCTGCTCTGAAACTGCTTACACTTCAATTCTGAGGAAATCACAGCTTGAGTTTTAAGAATGAGAATTATTTGCACTAAGCAGACAGAAAAAAAAAAGGCAGCTAAAGCTTGTACCTCAGGGTGCCATTTTAAACCATTTTTCTGGCAAACACACTTGAAAAATAATTCTTGGCATCAATAAGCTATCAGCAGCTGGAAATCACAACCTCTAGAAGACAAATAACCTGATATTCTTTTGCCTTAACTCTTCATATCCAGAGAGCATAATCTTCTCTCAGCTTCTTTCCTCAGAGTACTAAGTAGTATGTTGTGGAGTTATCCTGGGTGGGAAACACTGGACTATGTGATCCACACATTATGGCATGACAAATTCAGTCTTAAAAAGCAAGCAGTTGTTTTTCAAGGTGCAGTCTAGCACAGATTATCCTATGAATTAACTTTTTCATCTATTCCAAACGTTTCTAAGACACTAAGTTTCAAATTCTGAGCTCTCTGGCAATGCAGAATGTACTGTGCAGCCATTGAACATCCTCAGGTTCTCAGAAGACTGGTGAGACAAAACCAGGAACTTAACTGGTACCCAAAACATCCTAGCAAACAATAGTAATAAATAAGCATTTAGGTTTGTAGATCTAATATCATGTGTTTCTCTAATAGCTTTGCACCATACGGCTGTTTCTTCAACCACTTTATGCCTAAACAAAGATTAAAAAAAAAAAAAAAATAATCTCAAAACCATCAGAAAAACATAACAATCCACATTAGACCTTGGGAACATGCTACGTGAAATGTTTGCTAAAATGTAGTGTTCGGGGTAGGAGCTTCCTCAGACACAGGCAAGAGCCTATGATTTGTTTTCCTCAGCAATGAACCTATGGGAGTAGGTTGAGTCCTGTGATGTGACTAAAGCATCCAGTTTACAAATAACCGATGGAAAAAAACCAAAACAAAACACACTACAATACAATCACACCACCTGTTAGAGAAGATAATGTTCAATCAAATGTAGGCTTGAATTGCTTTATAACAGGAAGAAAACCTCAAACTCTCCTTACAGAAAAATGACAAGACGTTGCAATTAAAAATCGCAATCATTCAGCATTACTACAGGGCAGGTTTATTCAATTATCTGTAATTTTAAAGAGCTTTCATTTTGATATTTTTTAAATATCATATAAATAAATTCCACAGAACAGTCCATGTCAACACCATTAAGGATTTGTAGTAGTGCCAACAGTACCCCTCGGAAGCTGAAGGGAAGATTTTGAGTTATGTGCAGTTTAATACACATCTAAAACAGGTTGCACAGGTACACGCTCCTGTAAATATCACACAAAATGCAGAGCTGCAAATCTTCTTTTCGCCTATAAATACTTCTATTTACATCTCCATTCACAGCAGTTTGAGGCTACCTTCAATTCCCTCCTCCTCTTCAGTACTTTTGGGAGAACAGAACATAGCATTACAGAAAAAAAAACACTGAAACAAATTTACACGTGTCAAATTTGCTACTTGTCAGACTTGCAGCAAGTCTCCATTGAGAGCATGATGAAAGTCACACAGCCCTTGCTTCACGATAGTCTAGCCTGCACATAAAAGCTCTTGTTCACCTCAAATTACATCACAGGTCTGGAGAAGTTATGGTCTCAAACAGAGGATCAAAAAAAGCTAATGTGGGAACATGAAAGATTGCAGGCTGCAAATAACTCTTCTACCACTTCAAATATGTCATCCACTCACCTAAAATAAAGACACCTACATATTTTGAAGGTTTTATAGTTGAATTAAATATATAGATCATTCCTCTACTGATATAAAATAGAACATTTCTAGTAAGCATAAAGGTGAAAAGATGGCAAGGAATATGCCAACTATGCTACAAAATCTTCTTGCATGAAAGACCAGCTCATGGGTGGGGGAGTAAGCAGGAAAGGAAGGGAAAAAAGAAATCTCTTATCTGTTCTTGCAAAATCTTTGAACACACCCTACCCTCTCACTCCAAGAAACCTTATGAAGAAAAAAATAACTGTTTCTAAATCTACACAGGGTTTATAACATCACTTCCCATCATATCCTCAGATGGAAAACTGATGTGTTTTCTTGAGTAATCAAGAAGACACCTGAAATCTTAGAAATCTTAACACATTCTCAAGAGATGTGGCTGCTCCTTATCTATCTCAGGCAGGTTTCCCAGTACCCCCCCCCTTGAATAAATACAGTATACAAATTTTGTTTTTTCAACACTAGCTGTTTTTCAACCCTCTAGTTCCTTTTTATTACAAATAAATTTATAAAACCTGTTTAAGACACCCGCCTTCTACTTACATTAATTTGTCCAATCTGACAGACACATCCACACATAGATACCAAAGTTTCCCACGGGTGTAAAGTAAGTCACCATTCTATGGCTGTTTTGTATTGCTATTGCGACAATACAGATGTGAAACTTCTTCAAGTGCAAAAGTCCCAGGACTTCTATTTCCTAGGGTTTAAAACCAAGTGATCAGTCTGCTTTCTCTAGCCTCTCAGGCAGTGCACTCCTGCAATCATACACAAACCATGGTAGTTGGAAATCAGCACTTTTTCCCTAGAAAATGGAACATTTTGAGACTGTCAAATTAGCTACATTCA